GACTGTGATTGGTCAATTTCTTACTCTTACTTCTTACTCCGTGTATTGTAGACGGGCCTTCAAGCCCGTAGAGGACGCCTCAGGCGTCGTCTACAATACACGGAGTAAGAAGTAAGGGCCTGAGCACAATAGAGGAACAGGAATTAGATATTAAGATTTTAACCTATCAGAAACCGTGTATTCCGATGTAGTCAGTTTCTGATAGGTTAAAATCTTAATATCTAATTTTTGTTCCTCTATTGTGCGCAGGCCCTAAGGCGTCATCTACAATACACGGAGTAAGAAGAGTAAGAAATTGACCAATCATAGTCGATTATTCTTCTCACATTCGACTGTGATTGGTCAATTTCTTACTCTTACTTCTTACTCCGTGTATTGTAGACGGGCCTTAAGAGTAAGAAATTGATCAATCCACTTCTTCAGAGGGCGATAGCGCGCACGGCATTTTATGGTTACAAGGTAATAGCCCCTCATATCCTCTCTCTCCTAGGTTTTTCTCTGGTCCGTATATTTCATATATTTATGAAATATATGCCTTAATTATGCGTAATTGCGCATAAAAGAGTGGCATTTTTTCCTTGAAGAGAGCCACGAGAAGAAAGAGTATAAATTCTGCAACACAGTTGACACACATATTATCCGAAGCCTAATACATAATTGGTTTTAATTCGTTGCAAATTGTGATTGCATCGTTTTTCAGGAGATCTCACAAGTGTGTCTCTCTCATTCTACAAAATGGTACATACATATACATAATTCCGTAATTTTACACGACTAGATAATTGTTTATGAAATGCGTACATTTTCAGGCGCAAGAAGTCGAAGAAACTATGAAACGGATTCAATCTCACAAGGGAGTAGTTGGAACAATAGTGGTAAACGCGGAAGGTGTTTATTATTTTACATTTAAAAAATATATGAAACCATCTATTTGTGATTGTGAGGAAATTCTCATTGAATTTTGGACTGTGATTTTCAGGTATTCCAATAAAATCAACATTAGACAACACTACGACAGTTCAGTACGCAGGTTTGATAAGTCAATTATCAGACAAAGCCCGCTCTGTTGTGCGCGATCTGGATCCAACCAATGATTTAACTTTCCTGCGCATCCGTAGCAAAAAGCATGAAATTATGGTTGCACCAGATAAGGAATTTATATTGATAGTGGTGCAAAATCCAGTTGATTGATATCTAAAGCATGTGATAATGCAGAAGTACATTGCAAAATTCAAATTTATTCCCTTAATAATTTCATCGATTAATAATTATTAATTTATTCCGTTTAAATATTGCGTTTGATTTTAATAATTACTCAATTAAGGAATAAAAGAATAAAACTTGATTATTGGTATAATGCAACATTTTATTTCCAAATTAATTTAGTGGAGCTTTAAGAGCTTTCATACCATTTTTTTTGGGCAATTCATATTTTGTGGTACTTTTGCAAATCAATTTAGTAATAAATTCTGAATAAACATTAATTATTCCTACATTTTTGTATTATTTCAAACAACTGTGAATATATGTGCATCGACATGTACATATATTCTGTTTTATATATGATACATGATACCTAATTTCTATATATAATTCATTTATATTTTATGATATTCTTTAGTACAGTTTGTATTTTAGAATACTATTGTATCATAATATTCTGTTAATTTATGATTTAATTTTACATAATTGAAGTTATGTTTTTATTATTACTTTATTATTATTTTTTATTATTATTTTATATTTTATGTAAAAGTATATTTTATAATTACTGTGTGTGCACGCGTGTGCATGCGTGTGCGTGCGTGTGTACACACACACATATATATATATATATATATACACAAGGTTGTTTCTGAACTAACACCCACTAATCATACATGCTATTCCTAATAAAAAGCTGAATCAAAGTCCTCTACCTTTTTGCAATTTTCGTAATGTTTTTTTTCGTTACTCAATGAGCAGTATGTCTAAAATTGATGTATAAGACAACTTAACTTTATCTTTCGAGTTCTTTAAGAAACATCTTCAAAATATTTCGCAAAGAACACTGAAAGATATCTTAAAATTGTTTTATACATCGCATTTATCTGTTTATTTAGCCGTGTTTAGAAATTAATATCTCGTTAATCATTGTTAAAATTGCAAAATGGTAGAGGAATTTTTGACTCAGTTTTTTGTTAAGAATAGCACTATGATTAGTGGGCGTTATTTCAGAGAAACGTCCTGTATATATACATATATACACACATATATATATATATGTATTCATGTATAAAAATGAAGGAATACAAACTAGTATAACACAGAATTAAAAAAGATTAGCAAAATAAGAAAGAGAAAGGAAGAAACAAATTATCCATATGATTAAAAATTAATTTATCTAGCTTGAATCAATAATTGACAAATAAAAGCTTATATGTTTTTCCAATTGTGTTATCATATACAGGGTGGA